AATCCTACCAATAACCACACCTCCAAACCTTGCTTCTGAAGGGTGCGTTTTCATTCACTTGGACACCCAACCTTCTAACATATTAAGGTATCCACCTCACTGATCACACGGGATTCCCTCTTTGCCTCTAATTATGCCCCCTTACTAGGCAAGATTTGCCGTGACTTACAGGCATGGGACAGGGCGACTTTTACCTTGATAGGTCTGATCAATATCATAAAAATTACCATTTTGCCCCATATACTTTTCTTTCTGCAGATGGTACCTGTTTCCCAGCCTAAACGCTTTTTCCTTGAGCTTCATCTCCTCTTTACTTTGTTTGGGGTGGCAAGAGACCATGACTGGCCTGGAATATACTGAAACGGTTTAAGCGGATGAGAAGCCTGTGCATACCCAACATACAACTTTATTATAGGGCAGGTGCACTTCAGTGGATCCTCAACTGGAGGTTTCAGGTTTCCACTAAGCTTTGGGTCTCCCTTGAAAAAAACTATAGCGGGCCATAACTTGTCCCAAGCACCTTGGGTCCCCATCAGGAACTAGGGGTTTCTCAGATTGGGCTTCTCCATTGACTACCCATGTCCCTGAGGTCTGGGATAGGTTGAATAGGTCCCTCTCATTGGCCCCCCTATTACACCATTGGCACCAGTAGGGGGTTTCCCATGGCTCCCCCTGGGGAACAGCTTTCCTATTTCGGACCATGGGTGAAGAATGGGGACGTTAGTTTGTCTCATTTCATGGAGGGAGGTAACGTGGCCTCACTTGCCTCTCTTAGGGAGCGTTTTGGTGGCTTCCCTTTAGATTTCTGGAAACGCCACCAGCTCTGCCATTCCTTTTTCACCTACCTAACTCAGGGACCCCCATCCCACATATTATCTTAGTCCTCTATAAACTACTTGCCTCGGCTACCTTCGATCCTATGCCGATATAGATCACGGAATGGGAAGGCGACCTCCAGTGTTGAGTTTACTGATGAGCAGCTGCAACACTTATATCGGTTGACGCATTCCAGCTCTATTGACACCAAGACTCAGGAGAATAATTACAAATTGATGATAGATTGTAGATAGTACTGTGTACCCATCCATTTCTGACTGCTGCTGGAGAGGCTGTGGACAGAGAGGTACATTCCTCCACATTTGGCGAGATTGCCCTGTGCTCTCACCTTTCTGGGTGGACATCCGGAACCATATAGCGCAGATTTTGGACACAGATCTCCCCCTTTCTCCTAAACACTTTTTGCTTCACACCCCCAGCATACCTTTTTCTCGCTACAAACCCAGCTCTCTCTCACCTCCTCAATGCCGCAAAATGCCTTGTTCCTGCCCACTGCAAGAGTTCTTGTACCCCCAGCCGAGGAGATTGGATTGGGAAGGTGACAGAGATCACCACATATAAGGGTACTCAGGACCACTTTGACTCTACCTGGGCATCCTGAAAGCAATACCCCTCCGGATCGCTTGCACCCTCCTCCAGCCTAGACGTAGCCTTGCTAGTACTTGCGGATCCCACCTTCAAAACAACTTGTCCAGGCGCATCAACAACCCTGATCTTCCCCTCCCGTCGCTGTATCCTTTACTTGGCGGTAGGTGGGGTTTCCTTTTCTTTTTGCCTACTGACATTCTCTTTTTACTCCAGCCCGCAACCTAGATGTGGTTGACATGTTTACGAATTGCAACATGACTTAACAATGACTATCCTGGATGTTTTTGTTTGTTTTGTACCATTTGTCTCAGGTCAGTTTATTATGCAGCTAGTCCTTATTCTGTATATGTTTACTGTGTACTTGAACGTCAGTGCTACTGTAAAACTTGAGCTTGTTTTGTTGGTCATGATCCTTTCTTTACACACTGAATGAGACGAGACACATCTACCTAAATTTCTTTGTACTGTTTCTTCACTAAATAAAGATTAAATAAAAAAAATCACACGCACGCCATTTTGTAATTAAAAGTTATTAATATGCAGTGCTGTCATTTTCTGTGAAATGTTATGCAATATGGCAACTCAGAAGTCTACACTAAGATAAAAGTCAGATTTTAGGCATCCTCTGCAACAGAAATGTAGGTTTTGAAGAGATACTCCTAAAGAGTTAATCATTTCTTCAGGAATGCAGACCCTGCCACTCAATAAAACACTGCAAGAACACAAAGAAAATGTCACTCCAATTCAGAATATGTAACCAAAAGATATAGAAGAACAAACAGCTTTTCCTTCAGAGCAGAAAGAGGTAGAAATCTGCAAGAAAGTTTGTTAAAACCCCGGCAATGTAAATTAATCACCCAGAGGGGGATTAGTTTTTTCAACAAAAGCGGAGTAACCCGTTAAGATATGCTATTTAAGGAAAATACTGGGAAAATATCTAATGCTCAAAACAGTTGTCTAAAACAACCCCAGTTATGACAAACTACTGAATTTTTTACATGTTTTCAGAATGCAAATAAAATGACTAGATTAACACTTTCTACATCTTGCAAATCATCTTTTAAAGGCCCCTCAAGCTGAGGAGGTGAGTGATGTGAAATCACTGCTATTCTGACAAAATAAAAGCGTGCCATCAAATATTTGCTGACTGGCCATGTAGGACTTATTTTAAGTTTAATAAGTTTACCTTGAAGGAGCTGGGCATTTTGTAACTTGTTCCCAGTCTGTCTCTGCTTCTCTTTCCCCTATTTCAGCCAATATCAACAAGTTCTTGAGTTTTTAAATTCACTTGACCTTAGAATGTGTTACATTTCCTATGTGCCAACAGCTCAGCAATCACTCTTTAACCCTTTCACTGTCACCAATGTATGTCATACGTCGGCAGCAACATATACACAAATTCCCTATTCGCATTTTCTCATTTCCCTTTCTTGTGGAAACTATTCCACGCGTTTGGTAATATGCTGATCTTTCAACCCCACCAGCTATATATCCTGGGCTTACCCATCTTTCCTGAGTGCCCAGGACTTCTATGGTGGGTGTCATCAGAGAGAGTGGAGGCAGCCCCAAGCTAGAATGAACGCAGAAGTGACATCCATGGTGGGTGTCAGCAGACAGAATGAAGGCAGCCCCGAGCCAGAATAAACCTGGAAGGGACAAGGTCTGATCACCTACCGGGTTTAGAGCTGCTAGAGAAGCCAGGGAGAAAGGTAATCAAGCAAATCTGTGCTTGTTCGGCTTCAAAGGAGTGCAGGTGTGATATTAAGGGTCTAGGATATGCTCGATATATTCTTAAAAAGAACCTGTCACTTGTATTCTGCTATCACATAGGGGGCTTGTGAGCATTATGATAGCAATACGCAAGTTGAAATAAAAATTGTAAATTTAAAGTTTAAAAAAAAGCCCCCCAAAATTGAAGAAGCCTCCATCCCAACATGTACACAAGTGCGCTTTGGATGAGTTCACATATGAAGCCAACAATTGCACCTCACACATTGGGTATCGATGCACACGCTGGAGTGAGAGCCATAATCTTAGGGGCATAATTTACAACTAAAGCCAAACTGCAGAAAACTTAAAAAGTTATCCTTGCAGTGGAGCTGCACCTGCAATGCAAGGGTTAAATGATTATTTAGTCTAAGGGAAAGTTCTGCACTTTAATTTACCTGATCCTTCACTCCCTGGAGCATTCCAGAACGACGTCATAGGACATCCACCCGGAACAAGGAAACTGATCTCTTCACTCAACCACTTTCCACCTGGCCTATTGCAAAATAAAAGACGGGCGAGAAGTGGTTAAGCAAGGGATCATTTTGAAGTTCTCCAGTTGGACTTTAATAGCTTTTAAAGCATTGCTTGTGGACAATTGTGGGTACTGTGATTCTTTACCGATTCACAATTTTGAGGCTTGACATGTCTGGTATCCATTTACGATAATCAACCATGTAATTTATATTTTACCAGAAAATGGGTAATATATTGTGTTTGTATGCACTAAAAATACATTGAATGTATTTTTATGAACGTATGTTTTAATAAAAAGTTGAACTAATGGTGTAACAAAAAAATTGCAACAATTTTATTCTACAGGGTCTCTGCTTTCAGATATGTTTTGGGGGAGGGAGGTTTTAAGTACAATTTAGGCCTAATTAATATATGTGGAAGAAATGCAAATATGGCTCTTGCAGCAAATGGGTTAAAGAGAAATTGAAATGTAGAACCTGAACAAAAAGGCATTCTGTGAATGGACAAGGGGGGCAGGTAAGTGACAGGATTTCACCTTGTCCCTTTACAGAATGCCTTGTATTCTGTGAAAAGAAACAAGCCCATGTGTGAATGGATGTGGGGAAAGGAGGGGGAGAGTGAACAATGCCTACTTTCACTGTACTATAAACAAAACTATCAGTTGTAGCACCAGAAGAATTGTGCAATATGTAATATCCAGCACAAATCAAACTAATTTCTGCAAAAGCAAGCAGCGCTACCACCCTAGCATAGATGTAATTCACTTCACTTGTGTACTTTCTAAAAAGATTTTTTTCCTGGCATTCCACTTTAAAGTAGAACTATAGGCAAAACTTTTTTATTTCACTTTGGATAGAACAGGGGAGGGTTAAAACCCTTGTCAGGGTCTTTTTTTTTTTTTTTTGTTATCTTTATCCCATTGCAAAGATTTTCCTTTACTTCCTGTCCCATAGCTAAACAGAAAGTGAGAAAATCCCTGCAAATTAAGGGAATTCCTTGGGGACCCCCAGGTCACCATAACTACTGTAGTGTCCACATTGGAAGAATTCCCATCTTTTACTTTTCTTGGGATAACCCAAAATTTGGTATTTTCTTTTACTTTCAAAGATAATGGTAAGCAGACAAATAGAGAGGGTGAACCTCTTTAACAGGGACACAGACAGTAAGTAATAAAAACTGGCATGTATTCTAATCCCTCTCTACTCTATCCAAAAAAAAAAAAAAAGAAATTTTGCCATAGCTATATTTTAAGTTTCTAACATTTCCAGCTCATACATAAACATGGACAAAAATGGACAAAGCAATCTTTAAAACTTGTAAAAACACTTTACCTTCCGGAGCAGTGAAGGACAGACTGTATATTACAGACTCTCCCTGCACTGCAAACAGTAGGCGACTTCCATCTGGGCTCCAGCAGCCAGTCTAAGGGTTAGGGAGAGACAAGAGAAACAATGAGCCAAATATCAAAACAAGTGAACAATGAAAGCGAAAAATATGCTGAGCTTTAGAAAACGTACTTGACAACGGCCTTTGAGTGTTGGCCATCGCTCACATGTCCACATCTGGGTCTCCCATACTCTGTAAGAAAATAGCACTGTAATTCTAATCAATGGCAACATACCAAGAACTTCAGAATATGTCCCCTTACCTGAACACAGGAGATGGTGTAGCAGAAAGCACCTTGCTGCCATCAGGAGACCAAGACAAGAATGTAACACCTCCTCCTCCAACTCTCTGAAGTGGTACACAGGTCTCAGTAGACACATCCCACACCTATGGTTAAGACACACATATAATAAAATTATATATATCACATATACTATACTAAATTGAGTCATATTTTACTACTCACCAACATGGCAGTGTCCACAGGAGATGAAGACAGCAACACCCCACCTTTAGGAGACCAACAAACACTAGTGACTGGACTGTGACCTGGGTGTGAAAGGATCTGTGAGCAGCCAGAAGAAGGCCTAATGGATTTTTAGAGAACAATGAAGCTTTTAAAAAACATCCAAGGAAACATTACACAGTTACAGCCCTCAATGAGATACCCTGACAAAAACTATATGGTGAAGATAGGATCTGTAACAGAACCACTAGTTGGCCCCTCAAACAAAGGTAGACACTTAGGGGTTTATTTACTAAACCTGGTTGACTCAGAATCTTGGGCACCTGTGCATGGTAGCCAATCAGCTTCTAACCTCAGCATGTTCAGTTAAGCTTCAGCAATAAAACCTGGAAGCTGATTGGTTTTTATGCAGAAGTGGACAAGATTCTGAGTCAACCAGGTTTAGTAAATAAACCCCTTAGTGGCTCTGCTTGCACTCAGACCCAGCCCTACAACACCACTCACACAACTGTGCTGCATCTTGGTAAAGTGTTTGGGGGGTAATTTTATTTAGTCTGTGTAAATCATACAAGTGGAGAAAAGTGAAGATGTAGACAATATAAATTTCAAATTCACTCACAAGAAAACTGCACATCACACAGACCACTATGAAAGATTAATTTTCACATATCAAAGAAGTTCAGATAGAAGCACTGATCATGGGATGATCCTATGTGGTATACAAAATCCTGATACGTAAAAGCAATATAATCAAAGAGTGAAAGCAGTAAACATATGTCAGTGATGTCTCTAGTTTCATATATTCTCTTTACTTCATAAACAGACAAGAAGCCTAAGTAATTCACAGTGGCTCATTTCTAATAATGTACACATAGGCTGTAATCAGTAAGTAATACTCATTGATTTTAGTGTGATTAGGTGGTTACCTTGTTGATAAGGAGGTTGGGTCTACATGCCACACAATTACACAGCTCTGACAGGCTACAGCTAATATAGATGCACACAAAGGCTTCCATGCCATGCTGGCCACATCCTTCTGTAGGCGATGCTTTAATATTGGTGTGACTGAGCTTAAACATAAGAAGGAGTCACAAAAATGACAACATAGTATATTATTCTGGATACAAGGTTCATCATTATATACATAAGGTATAAGCATCAAAGATCATATTACAAGCCAGGATACCAAGCACTTTGTGCTCCCACTGTGCACAGCTTCTGCTTCTCTTTGCAGCACTTCAGGTTCATCAACCTTTATGGTGGACAGAGCAGTGTACAATATGTGAGGTTAAAGCTGAATGGAAAGGTATAGGATATATCATACTGCCTTGTTTTCAGTAATGGTTCCAATTAGCAAAGCAGATGCAGAAATTGTACACTAAACTGAGTGCACAGCTCATTGTACAGTGTGAACAAGCAGGCAAGAATACTTTAATGCAGATGAGACATAGCAAGTGCCTTCTGCATTCAAAATCATGCCTGTTCACAAATTTTTATTTAACAAGTTCCACTTTAATTACAGTGGACAGTAGGAACAAAAGTTTTAAACATTTATACATATACAACATGGGATGGCAGGCTTACAGTGAGGACTAGAGGTACATGTCCATGACTGGTGAGGTCTCCTTTATAGGATCTGCTGCAGAAAGCAGCCAGGGTCATGTCCTAGTCCTGGTGTGCAGCAACAAAAATGTAATAAATTGCAGCTTACTAATTCTTAGATGTGGTTGTTGTTTTATTTTTGCTTTTTATCCCCCCCCCCCCTTTATTTTCACCTGTTTATCCTCCCAGTAAGTCTGTTAGCTTTCACCTCCCCTTAACAACTCAAGCTGTGTGGCAAATGAATTGACATTTAGAGAGTTCAGCCAATCATTTAACACCACAGGGGCTTACAGTTGTCAGGTTTGATTTATGTAAAATGTTTACCCCAAAAGGGGAAAAAAATTTTAAAAAAAGAGGCCATGTAGGGCTCTGCCCACCCGGCTGCACCACTCATTCACTGTGTTCTGTGAATGAGAAACTACAAGTTGGCTTGTAGTTCTCAATTAACTACCACAGACCTGTGGAATGTCATGGTAGTTAATGGAGTTTTCCTGTCAATATATCTGCTTGCCCATACATCCCGTTTTGTATAAAGGTGAACTTATCCTTTTAGTGCCGGTCATACCAGTGCAATTTCAGGTGCGATTTGGGAATTGAAATTGCACCTGAAATCGCATCTAATGAATGTGAATGTCAGTGTCTTAACATTTGCGATTTGCTACATCGCGATTTCTAAATTAGTTCTTTTTCTGCAGTTTTGGTGCAATTTCACATACATAGAATATAATGGAAATCACACTGCAAATTGCAAGAAATCGTTGAAAATCTTCACAATTAGCAAATGAATTCTTCAGAAATTGCACCTGAAATTGCACACTAATCAAGTGATTTTAAATCGCACCGGTGTGACCGGTGACTAAAGGTGTAAAAATATTAAAATAAAAAAAAAAAACCAAGCGCAGCCATTCCATTCAATGATGCATATGCTGCAATATTTTAAATTGTTGTTGGGTTTATCACAGCTTTAAAAATCAGGAAAACATTTGAACAGTTTGGAGATTAAACAAGGCCTCAAAGCACTACATTACAAAAAAACAAATGATCCCTTTCAATCACCAGAATTCTTCAATGACTAAAGTCCTATTTCCTCCATCTTTCACTGTATTCCTTACCTTCCTGTTGCATATATTCGAATGGAGTCATCTACGAGAGCCAAAGCAAACTTGTTTGTGTGTGGATGCCAAGCTAAAGTTCTGAGCGAACAAGTGGTCCTAGAAGACAGAACAAGCAATGAGTAACCAAATTTGTCAAAATCAAGGCACAATGAATACTTCTGGTCCCAACAGCAACAACCCTTTGTACTGGATGCTGCAATCCTCTGTCATTTTGGACAGCACCAAGTATAATGATCAATATGCCCGTCTCAGACTGCTACATATTTGAAGCATGTCACGTGTAGCTATTACAGTTATGCAAAAGGAGCATGTAGAAAATACATATTACAGGTATATAGAACCTGCACTTCGAATTGTCACTACTGTCACATTGAAGTCACAAAGGAGGCAAAAGCATAACAGTCCTGTGGGCTTCAATAAAAAGCAAGCGTTGTTGGGCACAATCTGGGGAATTCAATAACGCTCCAATTCCACTTTCCTTGCAAGAGGTCTCTAAAGATCGACCAGCATTTAATTATGGCAAGCAATTGTGCCAGTTTCAGTAACATTACACAGGCAACAAATTCAGGTAGTCCGAACTACTACCACTTTAGGCTTTGCCCACCCCTACTAAAAAAAAACTCCTTTGCCAAGCTTCAGTCAGTGTGGTGGACGCAGTGGTCAGGGAGGGAGCACACCAAAGGAGTGTTAAAAATAGCCTCTCCATCCTCCATGCCAGACTGACAGGTACATGAATGGGGAACAAGCACCTATATACGTACCAGTAACGACCTTGGGAGAATTCTGCTGTTAGATCTTCACTTTTCATCTGTGGACACATAAAAGGTAATTTAGAACAACCATTTAATGTTTTGGAAATCATAACATACCAAATCCTGGCGCTGATCCCACCATCAATACTTTTCACAGGTGTGAAATCATTATCATGAAGCACTGATGCTTGACCCCAGACAATCAGCGGATTACTGATTTTACAATACATTACATATGTAGACAGAAGCCATACATTCGGTTTATTAAAACTAAATCTTTATAATTTATGGGAGTTGCAAAGGCCAGTGGGAAAGGTATGAAAAGCTTTTCCATTTTTAACTTTGACTGTTCTGTAAAAAGGTTATAATTATATTGTATTTTAGTATTTGGGTTAGAAATTATTTTCTTTTCTTATAAGTAATCATTGGAATGCACTTCCTCCCTAAAGAAACAAAAAAGGAGCCCAACCCTTTAGCTGTGACAAGCACCTTAAGCATGCTGTTCTATGAAAATCCTGCAGGAATACAGCACCTTTTCAGGCTGCTAGTGCTTACTAGATTTCTTTGTGTCAAAATATAGCCACCCTCTTCCCAAACATTGTCTACTTAGATGGACCTTCTGTTTTCTATATCTTAAAAAGCTGAATATTCACAATATGGTGACTTACTGACAGGTGTGGGAACAGTGACCCATGGAAAGAGGAAAACCAGCGACATAAAGCAAGACAGCAGCAAGACACACGACACAAACATTGGGGCACTGTAAAAAAAAAAAAAGAAAAAAATAGAAACATAACAGAGGTAGATGCCAACTAACCTGCAAAACCTACACAGTTGTTAGAAGTACATTTTTTTTGTTTCATAAACATACAGAATATTCCTAAGAGCAGAGAATAATGAAGGCTGCCATTGATGACTCCCACTTCTACAGTCTAGTTATCTGGCATTTTGACTCACTGACCCAGAACAAGCATGCAAATAAGGAAACCTAGTCTTCCCTCTAGAAAGAAAAAACTGTTTTGTGACAAGGATCTTACCTTCTCCTTCTGAGTTAGATATCTCCTCAAGCATTCCAGCAAGACCCATTTGCTTCCTGGAAAGGGATATATAAAACATAATGATTATAAAGAAAAGGCATGTCACTTTCGCACTTAAAGTGGGCCTTTCCCTAAAGAAAGCTCTACATGCTGATATAAAAATTATCTTATTCAGGGTGTAACATGTTATGATCAGACCGGCCACCGCTTTGACAGCTAGTGGAAGATCTTTCTCCACCCTTACTAGGTGTAAAATTTTTAAAAAACGAGGCCATGTAGGGCTCTGCCAGCCCGGCTGCACCACTCATTCACTGTGTTGTGTGAATGAGAAACTTCAAGTTGGCTTGTAGTTCTCAATTAACTACCACAGACCTGTGGAATGTCCTGGTAGTTAATGGAGTTTTCCTGTCAATATATCTGCTTGCCCATACATCCCCTTTTGTATAAAGGTGAACTTATCCTTTTAGTGCCCGGTCATACCAGTGCAATTTCAGGTGCGATTTGGGAATTGAAATTGCACCTGAAATCGCATCTAATGAATTTGAATGTCAGTGTCTTAACATTTGCGATTTGCTACATCGCAATTTCTAAATTAGTTCTTTTTCTGCAGTTTTGGTGCGATTTCACATACATAGAATATAATGGAAATCACACTGCAAATTGCAAGAAATCGTTGAAAATCTTCACAATTAGCAAATGAACTCTTCAGAAATTGCACACAAATCAAGCGATTTTAAATCGCAGCGGTGTGACCGGTTACTAAAGGTGTAAAAAATATTAAAATAAAAAAAGTTTACGTGCGATTAGTTAATAAAATAGAAACTAAAAAAAAAAAATTTAAAAGCCCACAGCTGCTAAGGTTGTCGGGATTTGTAGGTACTGATTCACAGAGCACTGTGAATCAGTGATGCGGCCGTAAGGGTGGACAGAAGGAGGGGAGCGGCTGCGGCTATGGGAACATGTTACACCCTACAAAACGTGTGGAATATGCAACATGTTCCAAAGGTGAACTTATCTTTAATTAGGGCTGATTAGAGAAAACTAAAGGTTAATAAGGGGTTAAACAGAAGAATTGATAAATTAAAAAAAAATTTTAAAAATGCAAAACTTTTCTTTTCAGATTGTTTTAATTGACTTTGTCTGCAGTTCCAAGTTCATCCCTTTGATCTGTATATGAACAGAATGGTACAAAATGAAACATTGTTTCTTTGTATGTTTCTGTATTCATGGTTGAGCAATGTTGTCCATAAACATTGCCAGACTGCTTTTCTTTGACAGCTCCAACTGTCAGAACTTTCTCTGTGTACTCAGGCAATGCCACTTTGATTAAAGTGGTTGTAAAGTCACCTCATATATGCTTACCTATAGGTAAGCTTACCTGTAGGTAAAATGAATATTTCCTAAATGTTCACCGTTTAGGAGATATTCTACGGAGCAGCAGATGATGCATGCATGATTCAGCGCTGTGTGCCGTGGCTGAAATTCCGAACGCATGCGCAGGAGTGACGTTACCGGCGGTTCGGCCATTCAAGCAGCTGCAGCCTGAAATCATAGAAGGAAGACCGGGTGAAGATGGAAGCCTCCTGCAAGGGTGACAAAGTGCCATTGGGGAGCTTCTTTCTAAGGTAAGTCTTTCATAATGTACTAGTATGCAATGCATACTAGCATATTATATTACCTTGCAGCAGGAAACTTTTTTTTTTTATCAAAGAGTTTACTACCACTTTAATCAGAGCTGAATTGCCGAGTACTGGGACAAGGGAGGTCCTGGCAGCAGGATTGGATGTGATACACACGCATTGAATACAATATTGAAATTTTTTTGGGGGCATTGCTAACACATCCAGAGTCTGCAACTGGTTAAGTCTCCTAAAAGTACTCACAAGTGTAATGTAGACAATAGCTAACAGAGACATGGCCTTAGGCTAGGTTCACACTATTGCAGGTGCGGAAATGCATGTAAATAGCAAGTGTTTCCGGATTCCAAGGCAACTGCAGTTTAGCAGATGCATGGTGGGGGTTCCATTAATTTTTAATGGCACCCTCATGCTTTGGAAAAAGTGGTGTGTTTACACAGAAATGTGATGAACCACATGGAGCCAAAGCACCATGCAGTTACTATGCAGCTTTGGTTTCACAAAAGGGATGGGGACATTTTCCTTGAGCAAATGTGTGCCATAACAAATGCAATAGTGTGAACCTAGCCTTAAAAATAATAATCCACGTTTGGCTAGGTCACTTACCATGAATTCAAACATCTCTTCCACACACTCTCCTTATGATGAATAAAAGCAGCTTTGCTGCTCATTTCCATTCTGCCCGGAACCTTCACTAAATCCAGAGGAATTGTAATTTCTAGAACATTTACCAGCTACAAAGACAAGAACATAGTGGTTGTTTCTGAGGGAAAATGAACAGCATAATAACTATATATAAATATATATCCCATTAAAAAGAAAATAACAAAACTAGCTTTTGTTGCAATTTTCAGCTTTATTCCTGATATTTTACCTGCATTACTTTTTTTCTCGGTCTGATCAGCATTATTCAACCCATCTCCTCTAAACCCAGGTTGTTGTGGATCTACCTCCAGCCTGTGACTAGACAGCAAAAGGAGAAGCAGCACAGTGATGAGGTTAATCCTCTGTCACTCTGCTTTCTTATCCTATTAGCACGCTTCATGTCAGCACTTAAACCGACTGAATCCTTGTACTGCTTCTCCCTCTCACACTATAAAGGCACTACGAGAAGCTGATATCAGGTCAGATTCAGGTACTTACATTGCTTGCATTTAAAAAATACATTTATTGATGTCTATTACAGAGCTGCTCAATTTGTGTATTTTCTGTCTATAGTTAAAAATCATGCATACTGTACTGTAGGCAGAGAGAAATGTCAGAAATAATCTTGCAGTTGTGACTTCTTGGTGAACCCAAACCTCAATTAATGGTGCTGTAATGTATTATTTTGCATTAACAGACCAACAGCTGCATGCTTACAGATATCAGAGCAACCAGTTGTCTGTAATGATAGAACTACCTGCAATAAACAATTACTACACTAATAGGATTTATGTTGTCTGGAGCAAACACCATTAGCAACTGTAGCCCACAGGATCCCCAAAACCAAACCCACTCTCTACTATAGCTCAGCTTTCACGTTGATGCTCTGGCCTGCTTCCTTCAATTCACAATTTATTTCACAAAGAGTAGCCACACAGTACATTGGAGGTGTCCAGCTTAAATTGTTTTCATTATATTATTTCTCTTGCGCAGTCACTTACAGAAATATTAAATGAAGAGGGTGGGCTGCTACTTGTATGCCATGGCATCATTTTATTGTTGTGTTCATACAGCATCATATCTCCACGAGCAAGAGGTGCAGGGAACAAATTCAAAGAACACATTTTGCTGGATCTGCAAATAACAAGACAAATATTATTAAACACATAGTTGCAATCCTTTAGAATGTCTGGGAACAATACTGAAGCGATGTACTAAAACCTGTTAACACTATAACATCAAAGGGTCTCACTGCACTAAAAGTAAACAAATCTGGTGATGCTGAGATTTTTCCATCATTCTTGTAATGGCTATAAAATTATACAATGTGCTCAGCAAAAAATATTTTTTTTCTGATGCACACACAGCTCATATTATTATTATACAGGATTTATATAGCGCCAACAGTTTGCTCAGCGCTCTACAATATAAAGGGAGACAATACAGCAACAATACAGTTCAATACAAGAGGGATTTGAGGTCCCTGCTCCTTGGAGCTTACAATCTAGGAGGGAGGGGCTAGTGGTACAAAAGGTAACTGTGGGGGGTGGACTGGTTGGAAGAGTAGAAGATTCCAGTATTAGCTGAGGGCAGGATAGGCTTCCCTGAAGAGATAGGTTTTCAGAGATCGCCTAAAAGTGAGCAGAGTAGGCGATAGTCTGATAAATTGGGGTAGAGAGTTCCAGAGGATGGGGGAAGCTCTGGAGAAGTCCTGGAGACGAGCATGGGAGGAGGAGACAAGGAAGCTAGAGAGGAGGTCTTGCGAGGAGCGGAGAGTACGGTTTGGGTGATATTTAGAGACAAGATCGGTGATGTAATTTGGGGCAGAGTTATAACTGGCTTTATACGTTATTGCTAGTGTTTTGAATTTTATCCGCTGGGCAATGGGAAGCCAGTGGAGGGATTGGCAGATATGGAACGGTTAGTAAGGTGGATGAGTCTGGCAGCAGTATTCATGATAGTTATATAACTCATATAGTTTTCATTGATCAGCATGGGTACTTCAATGGTCTTTACAAACATAGAAGTTGTGTTGCAGCAACTCCTACATAACTGTTGAAGGCTATTTGTATTCATCTGAAGAACATATGATTTGCATCCAAACAGACACACAGATTCATTCTTAATAGGATGCAGACAGATTGGGGTTTATTTACTAAAGCTGGAGAGTCCAAAATCAGACTCCCTTCTGCATAGAAACCAATCAGCTTCCAGGTTTCATTGCCAAAGCTTCATTGAACAAGCTGAGGTTAGAAGCTGATTGGTTTCTATGCAGAAGGGAGTCTGATTTTGGACTCTCCAGCTTTAGTAAATAAACCCCATTGCGTCCAGGGGTGGTCATCTGTCCCTAGACACAGGTAACTGCTGGATATACGGATACATGCATATTGCTGCAGTGCCTGTCATTGGTTTGTACAGGCATCCCAGCTGCAGCTGTCCAAAACTACCCATGATTCCAACCGCAAGAATCAACTGATTCTGATTAAAACAGATCTGAGTAGAAATATTATTTTTGTTCCTTGTTTTCTCCCCATGAATGCAGAGGTTTCAAGTTGTAAGGCCACCTCACCTCCTGCTTGAACTCACGGCAGAATACAGACCCATAATATTGTGCTGTCAGGATTACACAGAAATAAGGAATATGTTCATCAATATTTTTAACCCCCTATAGCAGTGAGGACAGTGTGCCATGCAGGACATGAACAACCCCTTTGGGTCTTTGAAAAACTTTCAGGATGCCTCAAACAGCACTGGTAAAGCACCATTACCATCCAGTTTGAGGATGTTAAACACATATGTAGATGGCTGTCACTTTAAACAACTGCTAGCAGGCTTCAGTAAGCTCCAGCACTGCTTGAATCCTCTTTACACACATATATTCAAACAGGTCCCCATGTACCAGAGTGTGCCCAATATGTTAAAATGATGTTCTCCATTTCTAAATAAATGGACATCTCTTCAAGTTGCTGAAATCCACGGCCTCCTCAGTTTGTCCTGCAGATGGCATGATACACCCAGTGCCAGATATGTGGCCCCAGAAATCCATGACTTGCGGCCTTGCTCCCCATGCACACACGAGCAATCCACACTCTGTCACAGCATTTTAAATAAAGGAAATCAGCTTTGTGTGTGGGGGTGGTAAGGGAGGCCATGAGACCTTATTCATAGAATTCCGGGGCTGTGTGTCCTGCCATCTGCCAGATGGCTGAAGAGATGGCAATTTGTTTGGGGAACAGAGCACAATATTCTAATATATTAAGGACACTGTCATGCGCAGGGACATTTTTGTGAAACATGTGTAAAGGCGAACTTGTCCTTTAAAGTAGCACCCATTGTTTTGACTTGTGTTTAACACCTAAGTACAGCCAAAATAAAAGTGCACACAAATCAGCACAAGGGACATAACTTACCGTCAGTAGGATGTGTCCCTTGTGCAGATTCCTGTTAGTTGAAATCCTCCTCCCTCTATGCCCCACCCACACAAACTTTTGGTGAACTGAGGAGCTGTCTCAGGCTATCAAATTTGCCCCACCTTCCCACCCAGTTCCTCCATTTACAGAATGAATGAAATGAAAAACAATCTATGAGTGGAGGGCATAGACCTTTCAATCATCCGCCCATCCTCCATTCATAGAGACTGTTGTATGAATAGAGGAGCTGAGTGGAAAGGGCAGGCAAAGTCGAGCTCTCTTGATGAGAGTCCATGACAGCCTTTTAGATCTAGTAACTCCTGCCGCAACAGTGGTGGAGGCCGACATGGAAGGAGGATTTCAGCTAACAGGAGAGGCACCTGAAAATGCATCAGCACAAGGGACACATTCTACTGACTGTAAGTTGTGTCCCTTGTGCTGATGTTTGTTTATTTTTGTTACTTTGGCTGCATTTAGCTTCAGGTTGAGGATATTGAAGTCTGAGGGTTACCAAATGCTTTCAAGCTGAACTCAGGGCAGAAATTGCCATCCAAGCAATGAGAAACACAGACATGCTTGATACAGGGAATTCCTTCTGTCCCCTTAATATTCTGCTCCTACAACTGGTGGCCACAATGCCCACTATTCCCCTCTGGCTTGGTAGATTCCCCATTCATAAAGAGGAGTGATGTAATTACATTTTAACTTGCTCTTGTAGGAGGACCTGGGAGTCCAAAGCTTTCAGTCTAAATGACATACTGTAACCTGCCCCCACTGTGCACACAATTCCCAGTGCATGATGGGAACTGTAGTCTCAAAAAGTGCTGATAAACACTAACAGGAATGACTTTGCCGTTTCTGAAATCCCACCTCACCAAGTCTGGGTATGGTGGATTCTTCCCTTTGTAGCAACATCATTGATTTTTGCTTTACTAATGGATCAGAGCTGTTGGATACATTTTATTACAATTCCAGAGTACAGCAGTAACAAAGCTGCCTAAAATGTTCTAAAAATGTTGCAGATTTTTTTGGGCTAAGTTTGCTGTACACTTTGAAGTCTATGTAAACAAGTCTCTGACCCAAGGTAGGCCAAGAAGAGCAAGCTTTATCTGGATTACTTCTACTAAATAAACTTGTAATGGAGAGCAGCAAGTGGGGCAGAATATGGAGTGGTGGCCATTCACACCACGATAAACGATCAATTTCTTTTCTCCTCTTCTTTTTCTTCTCTTCAGTGCTCCCAATGAGTGCAACACAATTTTTTATTATTTTCCACCCTGGCTAATCAGATTCAGTGTGACTAAACCCAATCTAAATTGATAGGAAGGGAAGTTATGTCTTTTCAATTGTTTTTTATTTGTTTTGATCAAATTGCACATCGACTGGATAATAAAATCAAAGCGTGTATGTCCACCATTAGGCCCATGTAATATTTGTGATTCTACAGTTGGTAAGAACTCTCCAGTGGTAGGAGTACTATGGAGGACACAGCAGGACAAAGAAACATTCACCTGCTTACATGCGTCTCTCCCTCGCCAGCTGGATGAAGCAGACATTGCTTTCCTACTGGCAAACTAGTGCATTCCATGGCCTTTCTGGCAATGAGGGGAGTGACACCACCAGGGACGGACTGACTGACAACTCATGGCCCCCAGGCAATAGGGGATCATGTGCCTAGCCCACACTCAAACCACACACCAAAAAAAGCCTATGAAAGGTACCAAGGGCATTCATTGGGCCCCTACAGACCTGGGGCAATGCCCGAGTGCCCAGCAATCCGCCCCTGGACACCACACTGATTCAGAAACCGAGAGCAACATATACAAGCAGATGAGTGTTCTACCTCACCAGCCACAGCATCACAAACGTGACATGGGTTTTGTAAAAATGAGCAAACCTGTGTATGGTCCTGGATAGAGATCTCATGGGCAAATTCTTTCCTACACCAGAACAGCTACTGAGACTTAAAGTTGTATTATTATTATACAGGATTTATATTGTGCCAACGGTTTGCTCAGCACTTTACATTATAGTGGGAGACAATACAGTAACAATACAGTTCAATACAAGAGGGAATTGAGGGCCCTGCTCCTTGGAGCTTACAATCTAGGAGGGATGGGTGAATGGTACAGTAGGTAAAAACTGCGGGGTATGGACTGGTTGGAAGAGAAGACACCAGTATTAGCAGAGGACGGGATAGGCTTCCCTGAAGAGATGGGTTTTCAGTGATCGCCTAAAGGCAAGTAGAGTAGGTGAGAGTCTCATAGATTGGGATAGGGAGTTGCAGAGGACGGGTGACGCCCTGGAGAAGTCTTGGAGACGAGCATGGGAGGAGGAGATAAGGGAGCTAGAGAGTAAGAGGTCTTGTGAGGAGCGGAGAGTACGGATTGGGTGATATTTAGAGATAAGATCGGTTATGTAAGTTGGGGCAGAGTTGTGGATGGCTTTATATGTCAGTGTTAATGGTTTGAATTTTATCCGTTGGGCAATGGGAAGCCAGTGGAGGGATTGCAGAGAGGGGTGGCAGATACAGAACGGTTAGTGAGGTGGATGAGTCTGGCAGCAGCATTCATGATAGACTGAAGAGGAGATATCCTGCGATGAGGTAGGCCAATGAGGAGGGAGTTACAATAGTCAAGGAAAGAGATAACCGGGGAGTGAATAAGTTGCTTAGTGGTTTCCAGAGTTAAGAACGAGAGTATCTTGGAGATGTT